GAAGAAGAAGCCGAGGAAGAAGAGGAAAAAGAGAGTGAGGAAGAAGAAGAAGAAGCAAAGAAAGAGGAAAAAGAGAGTGAGGAAGAAGAAGAAGCAGAGGAGGAAAATCAAAACAGTGAGGAAGAGGATGAAGAGGCTGATAACGATGAGGAGGAGGAGGTTGTGAAAAAGAAAAAGTCTTCTGAGGTCAAAAGTGTTAAATCTGGAAGTAAACGGAGGTCAGGGGTCAAAGGTCAGGCAGCAGACGAGTCGGAGGAGTTCTGGGGCGACGTTCTGCCGCAGTACCTCCACCTGAAATAACACAACACACGATCAAGTACTTATATCCAAAGAACACACTCATCAAGTAGAAATATACAAAGATACAAACCAGGTCCCTGAACTCATCACGGTGCCTTCATGCTCTTATTCCTTTATTTTAACTCACACATTTTGTTTACTTGTTTTCATGGCAGCTTAAACATGTTGAGTGTTTTATTAATTCTATAATTAAAGAAGCTTTAAGACATAAACAACAAGCTGCTTTATTTATAATATTCACATCTTTACTTTTTATTTTTATCTTTTTATTCATTTATGTGTTTGTAATAAATAAATATGTTTTATTGTATTCATTTAGTTTTTGTCTGTTTTTAAACTACATCTCAAGAGCTCATTTTTATATATTTTCTCAGTTTGTTTAATTGATGAAATATCTGAAACACCACGTCTTCAAATGTCCAAAACTCAAAAATATAAAACGGAGAAAACAAGCTGGAACCAGAGAACAGAGTGTTGACGTCTGGAGATGTGTCGGGATCAGGTGGGGCTTCTTTTCTTCTTCTACTCTTTGTGTTTATAATCCCTTCCCATCATGCACTGCTGTAGTCTGGAGGAACCCGGTGCTGGTTGTCACCTTAGCTCATGAAGTACCAAACATCCCAGTTTTACCTGGACTTTCCTTTCCTTCCTTCCTTCCTCTTTATTTAAAACCTCCTTTCCTTTTATTTTACTCTTTAGTCTTAAAGTTCAAATGAACCCAAAGATCTTATGTGGAGTTGGAATATACTGATTTGACTTTGATTCACACTTTTCCTCAGGATGTGACTGAAGGATTCACTCAGACGTGGAGCAAAGGTGAAGAAGAAGAGGATGATGAGGAGGAGGAGGAGGAGGAGGACAATGTTGAAGAAGAAGAAGATATCGACACGTCAGCCGAGCAGAGTTTGGACGAGTTGACAGAGAAGCTGCCGGAGGAGACTCAGAGCGCCGTGAGTCCATTAAAAGTCTGACGTTCATTCATTCACACTTCCTGTTGATGCCAAAATAAAACTCCTGATCTTTCCAGAAACCTGAAGAGCTGAAAGAAGAATCCAAACCTGACGGAGAGCAGAAAGGTTGTGTTGTCAAACTAAATACTTTTACACATATTATACAAGATTTAAATCTCACTAATGTCTGAAATCAACAGCAGCTGAAGTCACCGAGCAGCCAGAGACGGACGATGGCTCCAAACCGGCCAATGGGACGATGGACGGCAGCTCCAGGAGCCAATCAGGCTCCAGCAAGAAGGTACCGGACGAAACATTTAAAGTACACGAGGCGAAGTCAGAGAGCACAGCGTGTTAAAATCCTCTCAGCTCTCTCTCTTCAGACGGCTGTCCTTCACCAGGGCCAAGCAGAGCAACCACCGGGACCAGACCCCAGCGGAGGGCCCCGTCAGAGCGGAGGGCCCCATCAGCGGAGACGCTGGTGCTGCTGGGAGCGTCGAGCCAGAGACCAACAGAGGCGGAGCACAGCAGAGATCGTCCGTCTCTGGGGCCAGGGGCCCTCGCTCTGGAGCCTGCACCCTGCTGTGAGCCCAGCAGCCAAGCTCTTATTTTGAAAAGCCAGACCAAAGTGTGAAAATGGGTCAGAGTTTAAATGACTATTTAAAGGGAAATGTATATTTTTTAAATCAACCACTATCTGTTCACAAGTGACCTACAGCTGAGCCTCCTCCTCCAGTCCACCAGTCCACCAGTCCACCATGCTGCTGCGGGGCGCTTTTAACTTTAAAGTTTGTAGTTTCTATTGTGTGGCACATATTTCCTGTGTGTGTGTGTGTGTGTGTGTGTGTGTGTGTGTGTGTGTGTGTGTGTGTTAAACTGTGAGGATGTAAATAATATTTATTGTGACATATGGTCCTTGAGCACATTTGCACTTTAGATGTGATCAGTTTTATATTATGACATGATAATCATTTAAACTGACTTTTTCTATAATTGTATTTTTGCTGTTTCAGTAAAAACTTTTGATATAAAGCTGAACACAAGTCTTTTTGTTTTTATTTTATATTTTTACTATTTATTTAGGCCTGAGAGAAGCACAGAACTTAACCTGGAACTAGAGAATATATATATATAGTACTGCATAATATCAAACATATGTATTTAATAACTATATATACTGTAGACGAAGGCCATAACGTGGCAGAAAATTGAAATACTCAAATCAGGTACAAGTACCTCAAAATTGTATTTAAGTACAGTGAGTAAATTTGTAACTTTTGCCACTGTCATGTAATCATTTTTAAATAACGTTCATTCTGAAAGAGAAGCAGAAGTAGAAGACGAAGAAGAAGGAGGAGAAGAAGAAGACGGAAGCACGAAACTAACAGCCACATTTCAAGTCTCACGTGAGTCTAAAACAGTACATTTTGAGGTAGTAGTACAACATATTGTGTCGTATTAATTTGTACGTGTCTATTTCACATTTTTGTGGATTTCTAAATCAAATAATCGAGTGAATTAACGTAATAGAGCTGAACGTTAAAACGCAGTTACGCGTTGCTACCAGCAGGTGTCAGCCTATCAGCAATCAAGTCACCGGCGTTTCTTCTTCGTCGCTCTTTATTTTAGTCCGTTGTTGACAGCTCACCGGAAGCTCCTTATTTTCCTTCAAGAAAAGTCGCTTTTTCTTCTACTTTTCCCTGAAAACAAAGAAACACGGCGGCCTTTTTGGACCGGTGATAGACGACAGGAATGGAGGAATATAACAATGGCAGCGAGGTTAGTCCCGGAATCTAACGTTACGTATTTTATAATATATCACGCTAGAAAGGAGCTAGCTGCTAGCGGGCTAGCTGCTAGCTAACCACTCCTATTGATGATTTTTGATGCTAACGCTGCTTTTTGGTGTAAAAATCATGATATAGTTGTATAGTTTGTATGTTATATATCCAGAGTTAGCTAGTTACTTGTGCCTGGTAGTTAGCAAGATGTTAAAAGTGACATTGTGACTGTTATTATGCTATTTCTGTATTAATGCGTAGTTAATGCGACACTATCAGATAAATGTGGTAGAATAAAAATATAAAATGTCATGAAAAGACAACATAATGCATTCATTTGAGGTAGAAGTACCTGGAATCACTGCATTATATTGGTGGTTGAATAGTAGTCGTTTTCTTATGAGAATAAATAAACGATGTTTGTATTATAATCTACATTATTTCTCCTTCTTCAGAGCTCATTCAACTCTGAAGAAGCTGATAACATCGTCAAAGAGGTAACGTCATCCCTTTAACAAGTTTAAATGATTATTTTACACACTTCAGGACTGTTTCATCTATACAACCCACGTGTGTCTCTACTGTCCTTATAATTAGTTACAACCTTATTATAAATTCAATCTATTGTTCTGGAGCTCTCTTGATCTCGGGGTGGTGGGGGGGGGGCAGCACCCGGTGACTTCCACATGACCGTAAACACTCATCTGTTGTCTCATGAATGTCTCAGTGTATCGAGGGCGTCGTGGGTGCTGACGACTACAGCCAGAGTCTGGTGAACAAATGGACCGCCGGCATCGTGGAGCGCTGCCTCACACAGCTGGTGAAACAGGGGAAAGCGTACAAGTACATCGGTGTGTGTGTGTGTGTGTGTGTGTGTGTGCTGCCACTGTGGTTTCAGGAGAGTTGGTGCAGATTTACTTTACTTACATTGAGTTGTTGTCTTCATAGCAGTTGTTGGGCTTCATTCAGTGTTCATGGTTCAGGAGGTTTTAAAACACTGAATAAAGAACAAATGTCCATTAGCTCAGCTTCTGGCAGACGAACACAACGCTGACACATGAAGGGGATAAAGAACTTTGAATACGTATTTTACATATTATACCTTTTTAGGAGGGAGGAGAACAAGTTGTAGGTGTGAGTGCATCCAGGTCAAGTGTTCAAATTAGAATACAAACAGACATAAAGTTCTTCTCGTGTTTGCGTCTGTGTTCAGTGACGTGTGCTGTGATGCAGAAGACGGGAGCCGGCCTCCACACAGCCAACTCCTGCTACTGGGACACGGCCATGGACGGTAAGCAGAGCGTCCAGCATGATAACACAGAGCTACGTGCGTTTCATTCAGTTCTCTCTAAACCTCCTCCACCTGTTGTGTGCAGGAAGCAGCACGGTGAGATGGGAGAACCGCACCATGTACTGTGTGGTCAGTGTGTTTGCTGTGGCGGTGGCATAGGACGCACTCACACACGCCCTCCAGCAGTGTGTTCCTGTGACCAGCAGGGGGCCACAAAGTGCCATACAGCTGTGTACGCCTGAGAGAAACTGTTCTCTTCAGATGCACTCATAGTAATGTATTGATCTCTTGTCACTGCAGTGCTCTTTATTTATCACTCGCTGACAGCACGCAGCAGCTGTTGTCCTGTGGTTTCTGATGTTTGTTACGTGTATCATGTGAACAAGGGTTTTGTACTCTGAGCTGCAGGAGAATAAACAGATTCATTGTGTTCATTTCTCTTAAATCAATAAAGGTTTGAACATTTGAACAAAATACAGCTGCTTTCTTATTGCACTGTACAGTTGAACATATTTTTACTGTGTTTTATGAGTTCTATCGTCGTGTTCAGATGCACTTCTTATTGTACAGTGTCAAGGTACTTGATTACTTCCCTGTTTCTACTTATACTACATATCAGAGGAAACTATTGTACTTTGATATTACAGAATAAAGCACCCAGCAGCATGAAGTTAATGTGCTCCAGCTGCAACATGAACGCGATGAATGCATTAATATATAATCAATGTGAGGAGAGAAGTGGGTCATTCTGCAGAATGACGTTCACTGTCGTCACTTCAAACAGAAGTTCTCTGGAAATCTTTTATAATCAGAAAATGTTTGTTTGAATCTCCAAAAGAAACCTGAAAATATGTAAACTTATGATTTCCATTTGACGTTCTCAGACTTCTTTATGAAATATTCAGATCCTTTACTGAAGTAAAGTACGAAGTAAACTCCGAGTAAATACTCAAGTATTCAAAGGGTTACTGAAGGTTTGTCCTGCTGGGACTTTCAAATACTTTTGCTCGAGTGAGCAGCTACACAATCTCTGAGCTGAAAAATGGCCACAAAACCCCTGAAAGTTCAAGTTTATTGTCCGATAAAAGATTCACTCAGACGTGATGAGAAGACAGATACTCAGAGCATGGCATGCTTTCTACACTTAAATAAACATTCATATATGTATCACACAGTGAAACAGAAGGCTTCCACACAGAAACACATGTATAAAAACTTCATCGACAGTATTCTATAAAGGAACGGACTAGAACAGAAAAGCTGCTAAACATGAAAGCAGGACGCACCGATGAGCTGCTTCACTTCCTGTTTTTAGCGTTGCAGGAGAAGCGTTGCCTTGCTCAAGGGCCATGTAGCAGTTTATTACAGTGTAGTATTTCTGCATCTCAGATATTTATACGTGACCTCGTCTACCTCTGAGCGACATGAAAAGAGGAAGAGGACTTCTGAAACTTTCACTTGTTGATGGAACACAAAAAGGAGAACAAGAGAAGGTGGAGAACACCGCAGAGATGTTTCCTCCATTTTAGAGCAACAACGGCATCTTTGCAAAACGTCCGTGGTGAGAAGCAAAGAGACGAGCTGCCAGCGCACAGTTACTACGCTGGCATACTAATACATTGAAAACACATACCGTAGTATAAAAACATGACGTGGATACTCAAGGGTTAGTCTCAGTACTTGGGAAGTTTCCTCTCTGTGTGTGTGTGTGTGTGTGTGTGTGTGTGTGTGTGTGTGTGTCCCTCTCAGAAGTTCTCTTTGTTGAAGATGAACTTGACGTCTCCCTCCGAGTGAGACAGACTCTGTTTCTCCAGAGACTTCCCGAGCTGAGGAGGACCGCACAGGAAAACCCCAACTTTAGTCCTGAAGACACGAAAACACAGAGTTATACTTCTGAAGAGCAGCACTGGAAGTAATACTAGTAGTACATGCACTTTTCAAAAAAACAAGAAGAAAAGTCAGGAATTCAAGAAAAAAAAAAAAATGTAGTGGCAGTAGTTATAGTACAAGTAGCAGGAGTTGTGGTAGAACTATTGGTGTGTACACAGTGTGTGTGTGATAACGTGACTCACCCCGGGTGCTTTGAAGCGATGTTGGTGAACTCGTTGTCCCAGTTGGGTTTCCCATAAAGCGTCTTCTGCTTGAGCCCTGTGATTGGATCGTTCTCCGCCTCGTGGTGAACCCGGAAGTGAGCCGCCTGACGAAGGACAACACACCACTTAAAGTCTGAACCCCGGCGTCGTGTTACCGACCACGTGTGTGTGTGTGTGTGTGTGTGTGGTACCTCGGTGTCCTTCCAGCGGGTGAGGTAGATGTTGTAGCTGAGGAAGTCCGTCACACCTTTCTCCGCCATCTGACCCTCCAGAGACTGAAGCAGGTCTGCAAACCACTCGAAGGCCTCCGTCTCCGGGCACAGCCAGTAGAAGTAGATCTGGGAGGACGGCACACACACACACACACACAGTGTATATATATATACACACGTATACACACACACACACATATACACACACTTCTCCTGACTGAAGACCGTGTGAGGAGCTCCCTCACCTTCTTGGTGAAGACGTCCTGGTTGTTCTGGATGCGTTTGTACCACACGGACTTGAGGATGGAGGCGAAAGGAGTCACGCCGATTCCGGCTCCGACCAGCATCACCACCTCGTAGCGGAACACGTCCTCGCTGGCGGTTCCAAAGGGCCCGTCGATGGCCAGCCTGAGAGAGGAACACTTCATAAAGGGACTACTTCCTCTGTTTCTCTGCAGATACACGCGATTGATCTCAGGTTCAAATGAAAGCAGCAAACATGACTCAATTTCTGTTAAAATGACGTAAAAGGTCCTGCAATCATAACCCCACTAAGTATTATTACTCTATGACATCATCAGATGTTTATCATGCTGTTACTCTGTGGAGGGTTCTGAGACCTGATGGCTGTCCAATGAGTCCGGTCAGAGTGTTCTACACACATCAGAGACCTGCTTCTCTCATTGTGTGGTCTGAGAAGAAGAAGAGGAAGCCACTTGGTATTGATGATGGTTTCTCTACATCACACACACACACACACACACACACACACACACACACACAATGAACCTCCAGGGCCGTAACCGTGACCCCCGTCGGCAGCTTTTTAAGGATGCAATCAAACGTAATCACGAGCACTTTGAAGGCACAGTGTTTTGTCGTACTTTGGCAGCTTCCAGGCCTCCTGAGGCTCGGTTTTGTCTCCCACGCAGCCCTCGTACAGCGCCTGGGTCCAGTCCCCCACGATGCGGATGTGGGCGCTGAAGTAGTCCTCCTCGGGGGCGGAGGTCAGGGTGAAGGGGTGCCACTCCAGCCTGGAGACGGACGGACACTGGATGAAGACGTACTGACCCACCTCCATGTGGAAGCCTTTCCTCTTCATCTGCAGCTCCAGAGTCTTGGAGGGGTGCATCACCACCTGAGGGGGTCACGAGAGTCACCATCACTTATTATTGACTAGTTCAGATGAATACTTCATGCCTGTGTTGTATCTCAGACACACCTTGGTGATGACCACTTTCTGGTGGGATCGATAGACGCGGACGAGCCTCTCGCACAGGTAGAGGAACATGGGACCCACCACCCACTTCCACGTCTGGAGAAAAGGTACACATTGGTGCATTAATGTACGTACAGCAGCAGCTGGGTGCTGTTTCCCATGAACACCCTGCCGTCTTCTAAAACTCACAATCGGAGGGTTTCCAGCAAACACCGGTGTGGCACAGTTGGACCCGTTAGTGCCCCAGTCTTCAAACTGGTCGGCACACTCCTTGGGCTGGTTCGTGTCCAGGCTGGCGACCGTCTGTCCTCGTACGATCCGCCTGCACAGACGATACGAAGGGTTAATATTAACACAAGCTGAAGCTGGTAGACTCTAAGAACGCGTGTGCACTTCTCACCCGAAGCCGTGGAACACCAGTCCGATGAAGAAGACGACGAAGAGGTGGTGCGTGTACCAAAAGACCTCGAAGTAGGACCTGCGGATCACCTCCATGGAGGAGGTGATGATGAGGATGAGGGCCAGTGTGATGGCCACGCCCGTCACTCCGGCGATGGTGGTGAACATGACGAAGGTAGGGTTCTGCATGGACGGACACGGACACACACACACACACACACACAGCTGATTGTCACGGGGTGATGTCTGTTGGCTAACTTCCCTCATGGGCCAACATGTGTGCTGTCATTGTTCCTCTCACACCGTGAGCTCCTGCTCTGGAGGTTTGTCAACTTCATTACAAAGGAAAGAGTCAACTTGCAATACTGAAAGCAGTTGAAAAAGTTGAATTATTGATCTTTGAGCATGTTTCTGGCCTCAGTCATTTAAAATATCATTTCTCACGAGGAGCTGCACGTCTTCTTTCTTTGTGTTTCTCCTCCTGAAGCTAAATACTGTCTTTGAAAAAGAGGAACTTTCTCAAAAGAGGAAGCTCATCAGATGAAGTAAGACTCATTTCTTTCACCACATGTAGCAATAAGGACGAAGGGATTTCACAGATTTGAGCAACACGAGCAGCCTCCAGCTCCATGCGTTCTCACCGTCTCGTTGGTCCTGATGGGGTTCAGGAAGGACGCGTTGTCTCCGCTGCCGATCTCAGACAGGATGAAGGGCAGGTGGCTGCTGTTACGGTTCAGCTGGGCGTCCATGAAGTACTCAAAGTTAAACAAGTGTGCGATGATGTGCACGGCTGCAGGAGGACGACAAAGAGTCCCACATGAGCTGCAGAGCCACAGACGATGGATCAGAAGCACTAGCAGATGTGCAGCTATGGATGTTTAATGGTTGCATTTCATGCATATTTGATATTAGTTACTTTCAACTAGATTGTGAATTAAAAACCCATGAGTTAACATATTTGACATCATGTTTTGCGTCTCACACCTCCCTCTGAATCTCACACACACACACACACACACACACACACACACACACACGTACCTGTGTGGAAGGCGATCATGTAAGCCAGCAGCTTGTGAAACGTGATGTTTCGATCGAGTTGTCGAGCGGCCGTGCGGCTGCAGCACTGAACACAAACAAGTCCTGCTGTTATAAAGACTACTGACCGGATCCCCCATAATGCATCGGGGTATTATGAGTGGTGGTGTGTTTACCTGGATGGTGCCGCGCAGGAAGGAGAGCAGGTTTCTGCAGACCGGCAGCAGGATGAGCATACAGTTGAAGTTGAGGCAGGCAGCCGGCGCTCTGGCCCAGGACAGAGCTTGCTGGGGGGGGGGGGAGAAGAGTAATCTGATTACTTTGTAGTGCAGCAGCTTGTTTCACTTCTCTCTCTTGGATGCAGCTGTGCAGTTGACCCGGCTGCCCTCATTACCTGGAGGGTCAGGTGTGGCTGGAGATAAGGTGTGATTAGTGTGTGTGTGTGGGGAGGGTTTCATGCTGTGCCACTTTGTTAACGGGAAGATCATAAATTAATCACCTGCTGGAACTCTTTCAACCCTGCTGGACGGCACAAACGCATGTAACGCTGTGATAACATGTGGTAGGATCCACTGTTCTGTTCCTCTGTTTCATAACAGCACCTTCAAGCTTTATGTCTGAAGAACCCGGTGGGACTAAACCTACGAGGAGAAGATCTGACTCTCCACGAGCAGCAGTTCAGTGGATATTCTCTCATGCAGACATGTATGCAGCTATCTGAACACAGCTCCTTGATTCAAGCTGCTCAGATCACTTCTGTGTGCAGCTCTTCATAAAACAGACACAAAGCCAAACACGCTGCTGGAAGCAGAGCAGGTGAATGTCCTGGTGCCGAGTTCAGCTGCATGTAATGATACAAGAGAAGAAGAGTGTCGGGCGTTCCTCCGGCTGCAGGCTGAGGAAGTGAAAAGGGTCGGGTCCTGTTTCTTTAAAATGCATCTTTTCATACGACTTTCGAGAGGTTAGAAATAGAAGAACTAGACTGTGATGAGCTGCTTTTGATTCGAGGCATGCTGCTCTAAGACGTGGACTCACCCCGAGCAGGACTCTGGTGTAGAACCACTTGTCCACCAGGAAGGCCATGTAGAAATCCACGAACAGGAAGGCATTGATGCCGAGCCACACCAGCTGCAACACACACACACACACACACACGTTACTAAATCAAATCAGTCATTAGAAACATCAGAGGGATTATAATGAAGTAAGTTTACACGCATCACTCCAAACGCTTCAGTGTGATATCAAGTTGTTAGAACACAGAGAGCTCGTGTTCTGTGTTTTAGAGAAGCTGAAGTACAGTTTGCATTGTTTGAGTCATTTTTTAAATGATCCAATAATCTGAGGCCCGAACATGTTTTTAATAAAATACAATATTAAAGATTTAATTCAAAGAATAAGATTATGAATTATGATGTTTAATGAACAAACGTTTGGTACTTTAACTGATATCGAGGGTCAACATCCGGCCGTCGTCACTGAGATGCTGCAGATTGTATTTGACCGATGAATGTAGAACATGAAGCTCATGAGAAACAGTAATAATAGTAATAATAATAATAATAATAATACTCACAATGACGAAGATGGAGAGACCCTCGTTGGCAGCGAAGTTGCCCATGGTGAAGAGAGCTTCTGTGTGTCACTGTGACGGGAGAGAAGGAAGCAGGAAACAGTGAAGGAGGCGAGTGAAGAGGGCTCATTTTATAACCTCTGTTAGGAGCGAATGAGGAAGTGAGCCAGCCGTTGGGTTTCTCTCCACTGACTCCTGCAGCTTTTATTCGTAATCTCACTTCTGCTGAATCATAAGGAAGAAAACTCATCTGATATCTGAGCGTTCTCTGCAGATTAGTAAGAACTACAATCAGTGGAATAAATAACGATGATGTATGACTGCAGCCTGAGATAAGACTCCTCACAGCCTCACAGCAGTAAAGTCATTAAGAGCAGCTCCACCCTGAAAGAGTCAAACAACAAGGACTCTTGGTCCTTAAAGTGTGTTTCGATGCCGACACGCTGACTGTAGATCTAACACCTGTTAACGGGTCGGCCTGGTGGAGGCCTGGTGGAGGCCTGGTGGAGGCCTGGTGGAGGCCTGCAGGGGACCGTTGAGGAGGAACCTGGTGGTGACATGCTGGGTTCCAATCAGAGGAAGTGGCAGATTTCTAAAGCGTGAAGTAAAGCAGAAGATCGATTGCCACATGCTTCCTGTTTCAAGCTCGACTGCAGCTGAACCCAGATGAACATTTAACAAAATAAAAGCTCCCAGCGTCTCGTTTCCTTCATGAGCAAAGCCTGCTGGTAATAACAGGAGATCCAGGGGGTCCTGGGTGGGTCCAGAGGTCTGGAGCAGGTCTAGAGGTAGTTGATGATTCAAGGAGTCCTTTAGGGGGCTGGAGTGTAGAGGATTACTCGGTGTGCATGTGTCTCTGGGTGGTTTTAGAGGAGCGAAGGGATTCCAGGAGAGGTGATAGAAAGGGTTCTTACGGTTCCACAGGCTCTTGACCTGGTCCTTGATGGTTCAGTAAATGCAATGAGTACTTTGGAGGCTTACACACCTCAAACCTGAACTAATCCCAGATTAAATCTACCGAGAGGGATCCTGTGTTCAACTAAAACCAGCTGTGGGTCCCTGAAGTAGAAGCTTCATCTTCTGGATAAAAGCATCAGTCTCTCTGTTTAAACATCTTATAAAACCATCTTTTCAAAGAGTCTGATAAAGAATAAAAGTATTACTTCTGCGCTGACGCTTTAAACACAACGTTCACTCTGGATTATTGTCACTCAGATCTCTGCAGAGGGACTTAACGTCAGGGATTACATACCGTGTAGGCCTACCTGCTGCCCGGCTGCCTTTGAGCCAGTCCTCTGGTGTGTGTGTGTGTGTGTGTGTGTGGGGGAGCTGATTAAAGTGAATGTGTTCCTGCTGCAGCAGAGCACACAGAGGTGTTGAGGCTCTGCTGTGACTCCAGCCCTTTTCCTCTGTTCTCTCTCTCTCTGTGTGTGTGTGTGTGTGTGTGTGGGCGTGGCTTCCATCACAGCACCTGGGCTCATCTCCGCACCTGCCGGCAATCAGACCATCAATCACATGCAGCTCAAGTCCTCGGCTGCCTTCACTCTCATCACCAGTGTTTCATCAGCTCAGTGCTATAGAACCGCTCTGAGTCCTTCCCTTTATGTGTGTGTGTGTGTGTGTGTGTGTGTGTGTGTGTGTGTGTGTGGTAACGAACGAGCAGACAGATGGAAGCGAGTGAATAAAAATACATAATTCAGAGTTTGATGACAGACATGAGATGTGACAGAATGAGTACAACACTGCACACATACACACATTATTATTACTACATGTTAGTCACAGCTTTATAGCCTCAGAAATAAACATCTTCCTCTTCTTCTATCACTCTCATCCAGGCTCTTCTTCTTCTTCTTCTGCAGTGCTTTAATGGTTGAACTGTTCATATCCTGCTGATCATTTTACAGGTGAAGTTCCTCCAGAAGTCAGAGTTGTGTCCATATTCCTGTGGATGTAACAGAACACGTCAGCAGGACCTGATGTAACACGGGAACACGCTGAAGCGTTGCAGCCTGCTGTAGATGATGGAGCTGAGGGTGGAGGTTAAGCCCAGGCTGCTGATTCCCTCCTAATCTGGGGAGGGATCAGGTTAAATGTGTTGGAGTGGAGCCGGTTCACCACCAGGACTCACACTTCTTCTGATGATTGTCTCTGAGGCTGCAGAGAGACGTGTGCATGTCCTCATCCTCCGTCACACAACGTACCAACACAACACGACTGAGCAGTCACTGTGACTCACTGTGGGGCTTTTATTGTGAAGGAGCAACAGGAAACACAACTTGTTTCTTATTTCCCCATAACTTTGACTTGGTGTTTAAAAAAGCAGCATCTCCTAAATTGCATATGTGATGTAATGATGACGTTGAGCTTCTTATAGTATTGACTCACGAACTACATGTTCAATGTAGTTTCCCATAATTCTTAATAAGACTTAATGTCTCTTACTGTCTGTTTATTGTCCTTAAAGAGACAGTGTCTTAACGTATGTCTCATAAAGTTGAAACATTAACTTACTGTCAATCATTCGTATTTTAAAAAGTCATAAGTTGATTTTAGTAAGTTGAAAAATGACCTTTAGTGTTAATGTTTACATTTCATATATATATATATATCTTTATGTTCTCGCAGTTATGGCCCTCCTCCTCCTCCTTTTCCTCCTCCTCCTCCTCCTCCTCCTCCTCTTCCTCTTCCTCTTCCTCCTCCTCCTCTTCCTCCTCCTCCTCCTCTTCCTCTTCCTCCTCCTCTTCCTCTTCCTCCTCCTCCTCCTTTTCCTCTTCCTCCTCCTCCTCTTCCTCTTCGTCCTCCTCCTCCTCCTCCTCCTCCTTTTCCTTTTCCTCCTCCTCCTCCTCCTCTTCCTCCTCTTCCTCCTTTTCCTCCTCTTCCTCCTCCTCTTCCTCCTCTTCCTCCTTTTCCTTTTCCTCCTCCTCCTCCTCCTCTTCCTCTTCCTCCTCCTCCTCCTCCTCCTCCTTTTCCTTTTCCTCCTCCTCCTCCTCCCGGAGCTCCAGCTGGTTGGTGACGTCAGACCATGTGGACTACAATCTCCTCACAGAGGGAGGGAGAGAGGGAGGGAGGGGGGGGGTAGAAATATACAGCGACGTCAGTGAACGCAACACTCCGCTGACAGCACTCCAACAGGCACTTCACCCGGACTATACCGGCTGCATCGGCCGGTCCCGGTCCCGGTCCATGCTCGAGGACTTTCTCTTCAGACGGATCTCCACGCGACTTGTTGACGTTAAAAGGTAAGAGAGTCACGTTGACGCTAACGCTCGTGCACAGGTGTCGAGAAGAATGGCTCCTCAATTAACGACCTGTCGGTTAATTAACGACGTCATGAAAGCTTTTTATTCACTAAATCATTTGGTTTAAACGGATAAATAACCGGAGAGACCAGAACTAAATGTTTCATCTGCTCTGAGAGCTGTTTAGTTCAGACTCACCTGGTGAATAAATAGTAGATTATTAGTTATGTTTTAACTTCACAAAGTCTGTTATTTAAATATCACGTGATGATTAAAGCTGCACTTGTTTGATGCTGAAGATACATATGATCTATTAAACATGTTCCTGCTTCACTGTACTAGTTTACTTCTCTGATCTTCACAAGTCAAACGAGAGAAAGAGCTTCATCTCAAGGAGAAGCACCAAGAAACTGTTTCACTTTAATGCATCTTCATATTAAATCACACCGCTGGTCTTAAACCAGATGTTCTGCATGTTTCCAGGCAGAAACTCCACTTTTCTCAGATTCCAGATGTGCATTGAATGATTCCCTCTTTAGAGCGACGACGTCTCACCTGTCGTGATGTTTGATCTGACGGACACGAGCTAACGAGGAGTTTCATTTCTGCACTTATTGTGGAGATGGTCCCAAAGACAGAGCCAGCGTTAGAACTAGAGGTGAAGCGGACCGGTCTCCATCCAGAACCTCCTCGTCCTCAGTGGTCCACATGTGTTAGAAGAGATAAGCGAGAGAGACGTTTAGACACGACCACGCCTACGGAGGACAAAGACCAACGAGAAGGAGAAGACGCTTCATGTGCAGAGCAAACTCTCAGGTTCAGTCCAAGCAGACACGTCTGTGTGGACTTGATCTTACAAAGGCCTCTACGTCACTTTCATAACTTCTTAATCCTATTCATGAAAGTATGAAATCATAATTCATGGCCGGGTGAAGCTGCAGGGGATTTCCTGTTCGATGTTTAACTCAGTTGGCGTGTGTGTACTTCCTGTCACCAGAGCGGAAAATCAGTTTAAACGTAATGATGTAATGCTGCGCGGCTCATCGTGTGTCCCGTGACCTTTGACATCACACGGTCATCATCCGAGCAGCTCACAGGAAAGACTCGGATGTCTTGTTTTGCTCAGTGCAGGCAAAGATAATTCGGTTAACCGGGTGTGAAAGGTCAAACACAAGACCGAGAGCACCAACGGTCTTCACTGTTAACTGCTGGTCCACCGCACGGAGACGTTTCTAACCCGTCTTACCTTCTGAACTCTCCTTCAGTGTCAAAGCTGCGTCCTCTCTACTGTCCACCAGGGGGCGACTCCTCTGGTTGTATAGACGTCTATGAGAAGATGACTCTACGTACTTGGACTTGACTTGAGACCTGAGACTTGTCCGTCGTGATTTTGGGCTAAAACACAATATTTCGCTCAAACTTGCTGTGAATGCTGCACAGGAACGTCTCGCTCGGCCCGGAACGAACTATTCCTAAAAGTAGAGGAAGTGGTTTTGGTGACGGAACGAACACAAACGGCGTCTACATACACACACACACACATATATGTACATATATCTGTGTGTTTCTGTGTATCAGCACGTCCCTGACAGGATGTCTGTCTGTCTGTTAATTAGTGACATGCTGGATTATATAACGCTGAACACAAACCTCGGCTGGCGTCACTGGGTGCTTGTGACTCGACTGCTGCTGTCTGTTCAGATCTGTGTTTCTGATGCCAACCAATGACACTTTCTGTTTCCTCTGTTGGTTTATGAATCATTTTGTCCATTAAATGATGATTGATCTTTGTCTCTTCCTCGTCTCTGAAAGGACTGAACGCAGGAATAATTCACCTGAATGTCACTGCGATCCATAACCTCCTTTAATTGTCTGTGTGAACCCTCCTCTCCCTGTTTGTGTGTCGGGCTTAATTGGAGTCTTTGTTGTTGAAGGTCAGAAGCTTCGCCTGTGGTGACGGCGGTGTGACGAGGCAACAGCACCGGATCTCTTATTTTACATTAGATGAGGATCCGTAAAGCTTGTGAAGGTTTCTGAGCTTTGGTTCGACGAGTGAAAGAGAAGATGATTCATCTTTAAATGTTCTCCTGACAGGTCTGCTGATAAACAGCCCTTCAGTGCTCCATGATCACTTGAATCATCTCCTGCAGCTGGAAGATGATGAGGTCGTCCGCTGGAGGCGGGTCAACACAGAGGTTATCTGATGAGCAGCTGGAGCATCGATGTGTGCAGACGTGCTGCTGTGAGCCGGCGTGTGTCGGCCTGCAGCCTGGTATGGATCCAGCTGTCGGGAAGCTCAGCTCGTCTGTGTGATGGAGGCTTCATCCACTGTCACATACACACGCAGCAGTAAAAGCGTCCTTCAGACTTCTGCTGCTCGTTGCATCGCGTTCTGTGACTAATCGTTGATTTTATCGCAGCTCGAGGACTTTGAGACCTGATCATAAAAAGCTGCTTCGTGACCTGAAATCCTCGAGCTCTCTGAGAGCAAACTCAATCAGCTGCTGGAGGATTTACACGCCAATAAAACCATCTCCATAAAGACTGATAATCCGCTGGATGCTGTGGAGGTTAAACGGTTAAACGCTGTTCTTCATGTGCAGCATGAGAGGCTTCCTCCTGGTCCCAGGACTCAGACAGCTCGGGGTTTTAACCTCTTCCTTTAGGAGACAGGAAGTTGTGAATCGGCTGATAAATGAAGCGTGACGATGAACAAAGTGTACATACATTGAGTCTGATCCGGTGTGCTTTGGTCCTTCTGTTCTGCTGCAGGTCTTCCTCTGTGAGCTGTGGGAGTCCAGCTCTTTGTTTGGGACAGTTCAGGTCCACCACGTCTCTCTGGAGTCCAGAGAACCAGGTCTGGTCCTGAATGTTGGACCCCAGAGACGCACGCATGTCCAGGTACGACTGAATCCTTCCTCTACTCATGCACGTGTTTATGGATCGCTGTGCTCACGAGCCACGTTTTACGATGATTGACGTCTATGAACACAGAACCACAGCCCGGGTTAGAACCACGGAGCGCTGCACCAGAAGGAGCTCCTTTCACCGTGTGGCTGTTGAAGGCTTGCGTTCTCTGCCTGGGCTGTGATGTCGGTTACATCTGTAGGAATAAGTGGCTTCAGTATTGAGAGGAGTGTGTTTGGAGAGAGGGCCGTCGGTCTCATGGAGGTCATCTCGTGTGTTCAGAGTCAGCTGAGGTCTCGTAAAATCCAACAAGGCCTGATTTTAATCCTCCCGTCCCTCTAGATCAAGGATTATTCTGTGATTGTTGGAGGACCTCTAAGCTCCCCTGTGACTACATGGCTGGTGGCTGTTGTCCTTTACATAAGGAGGATATTGAAATGCTTCATGTTACGTGTTCCTCACACGTTCCTGCAGCTCTCTGCTCCAGTTGGAGCTGCAGAAGGCTCAGGAGGACTTCCTGTGATGGAGGAGAGGAGGTGTTGTTCCTCAGGACTAAATGCTCTCAGAGCAGCAACATTAACAATCTCTAATGTACGTTTCCTCCTTTACGCTCAGAGTGTCTCCTCCTTGTAGTCACATGACTGTTGGTCTCAGATGAATCAATCATGACTTCATAGTTTCACAACTTAATGTTTTTAGACAATCATGTTAAAGTGAACTCTTTATTAGAGGAGACATTTATAATGAGACATGAAGAATAAAATGTCTTCTTCTGAAAGAAGCGTTTGTCTCACATGATATGTTCGAGGACCGTTGGAAAGATGAAACTCTGAGGATAAGGCCGGTTGTTAGCAGCTCCTGGCTGTGATGAACGGGCAGTTTTGGGCAGTTTTGGGCGATTGTTTAAAGAAAACGTGCTTTTCAACCCCCCCGGTGTGTTTGGGGTTCAGAGGGACATGTTTGTGATGTGTGTCCTCTGGATGTCGGCTGATTGACACAGACATGAAGGAACTCTTCACAGCAGGAGGAGGAAACGGACTCCTGAGACACTGAACTCTCTCGTGACTCTTTATGAGGACGCACTCACGACAGTCTGACCTCAGGAGGGTTTGACGCTGCGCTTCACCGGACTGATCTGATTAGAGTAAGGAGCTTCCAGCACAACCTGAAGAGCCCACAGATCTCCCTGCGCTGCTATTTATAAACCCTGTATCATGTTCAATGCATGCATACACAACCTGAATGCTGTCAGCCTCAGACCTGCGGACCGGACCACACGTCCCTGGTCGAGGACAGACTGAGATGAGTCTTTCTAATCTGTGCTCTGGTGTACTTTAGCAGGAATGCATGCAGACTGGTGTGATGGCAGACAGGGGGGAGTCTCATGACTGGAGGAAGTGATGCTGCTGCCGCGGGGCCGTCACACCGCTGCCCTCCTCAAACCTCCGGTTGTCTCCGGGTCACATGCTGCCAGAGCCCCGAGGCGTGTCCTCTGGGACCAGAACTCGTGTTTCTAAACGGTGTCTTTGGTGTCGGCAGGTCGGCGGGAAGCTGCGGGATGCTGTGGCTGCTGCTCTGTGTGCTTCCTCCGCTGGACGGCAGCAGACTGGTGGCCCAGGACGTCACTTACAGAGCAAGACACGGTGAGTTGTGTGCTTGTATATTCTACTGGAACCAGACTTCACACTCTGCCTCTAAGAATGTGTGAGAAATCAAACTAAGGCCAAGTTTTACAAGACATTAACCTCTGATTGATCCTCTAATCATGCTCTCATGATGCCTTCAATCAAAACCAAACTCCACATGTTTGTGATTGAAAGGATGGAAGACAGGAAGCAGTACATGTCCTCATGTTAGTGCTGCATCATGGTCTAGTGTGTCCAACTCTTCAGTTCACTACATCCAGATCCACGCTCTGCCTCAGGGACCTTTGCACACACATTTAAATGAATGTTTCATTTTGTCAGCATACATAAGTCATGTTTCTTCTTCCTCTTCATCCAAACAGAGGCTTCGTCTTCCTCTGAACAATCGCCAGAGCACTGGAGTGGAATCATCACCAGAGATGTGCAGACTCCTCTCCAGTAAATGAACAAGAATAGAAACAAAGCTCAGCGCTCATGTCGCTGCAGCACACTTCCTGTGTTCACTAAGATGTTCTTCTGTCTGAATGTCTGTGCTCCGTCTCGTCTGCTTTGACAATTCAAAGTGTTGAAGAGAGAGAACATTTTATAAAGATGACATTATGTGACGCATAATCATAGGAATGAATACAAACCAGCTGCACAATTCAATTAAAACTAAGCAGAATGGCTTCATGCAATTACCAGATCGCTGGAGGAGCAACATCCCTTGAAGGCTAACAATAATCATTTTGAATGATTTAAGAGAAGATCTTTGTTTGGTGCAGATTCCTGCAGAGATCTCACCATGTTCATCATAATATACACACTCATGATCACTCCTCTGATCACTGGATCGCTCCTCTGAAGTGTGACCTCTTCACTCAGACGTCTCACAGATGATGACGTCTGAAGCAGACATCACGCTGCTGCTGCTGTAGACGCGAGGTATCGATCCGTCACGCTTCATCTGCAGCTCGCTGACATTTCTCTGCTTCGGTTCCACAGGAAGTCTTTCACGCTCTTCACAATAAAAGCAGTTTTGACAGACGTCACAAGGAATGAACTCATCTGTTGGTGTGATGTGGGCCTGAACTTATTACATAATATAATCTCCACGTGACTCGCTTCCTAAACTGTGCAGGCTACAAAGCTGCAACACAAACCTCGTATCCCATAATAACAGACTTTAAACTCACATGTTTGAGATTCAGAGGTTTTAAAACTGTATTCTGACCGTATGCCGTCTGAGATAAAGAACGCAAAGATTACTTCTGAAGCTCACAGGAAATTAAATCTGCAGAAGCCGTTTTGTTCACAAACGCTTCCAGATGTGAAGCTCTGACGGCGATGTCATCCGCTCTTCATTGTGTTGATAAGCTGCACAGAAGGATCAGTGATGGGGGTTCAGAGCACGTGTGTGATGTTAGAGCCTCTTAAAGGTTGTCTTTATATCAGCTGCTCAACATGTGGTCTCCAGCTGTGTCCAGATGTGTGGAGGTGATGTTATGTGGATCACAGCGCTTTACAGCTGGTGGTGGTATCATCTTGATCCTGTTCACGTTGTGATGGATCTCAGTGAGGTTGGTCTTCAGAATGTGGTCTGACGGTGCAGCTGGTATTTACTCTCATGTGGTTCTTATTCAGCCACAATGAGACCCAGACCCCAGACCTCTACCCTCTACCCTCTAACCTGCAGCTCACTCTTTCCTGCAGTCGTTCCACCAGTTCAACATTTTGACATTGATACCATTCTCATGACTGTACGGCGATTATGAAGCTACAGTCAGCAGCCGGCTAACTTAGCTTAGCATAAAGATGTTTTGTGTGCCTTTTGTGGTCGTTTTGCATCTTTTTGTGGTTGTATCTGTCTTTGATCGTTTTGCATGTTGTGGTTGTAGTTTAGTGTCTGTTCTTTGTGTCTCTTTGTGGCCCCTGACCCGTTGGACCCGTGTTCCTACAGGCCCGTCCAGTATCAATCTTTGGAGGAAACTATTTTAAACTCTCCGCGTTGGAACCTTAAAGTGACGCAGAAATAAAGACAACATATTGGTGGTGACGGATCATTAGTCAGAAGTCTAATGATTATTATTGTATAAATCCCCTTGGTGCTTTAAACCCGACTTAGCTCCGGGTTAAAGTAAACCTGATGTTGCAGACAAATCCCCCCAAATCCCTCACACTCGGGGCAATAATGGGATTTTCTGCAGGTATGAGTTGGTGCAGCTCTGCTGGCGCCCAGCGTGCGTCCTTCCTTTCTCTGTTTCTGAGAAGTGGACATGGTTGATTAGAAGCAGCCTGCAGCGCGGCTCTGTGAGCTCCTTACAGCAAACACTGCCGGCCTTTGTTCCCCTCACATCATGCATTCTCTTCTGGATTACTGCTGAGATGTTATGAGCTCTCAAGCTGGTCTCTGCGTGATGGACAGAAGGTCTCAGCAGCGGCGTCCGTCCACCTCGTATGAAGAGGAAACGTTCTTACAGATTCAGTCAGGAATGAAATGAATCTGGAGACGCGAGAACAATGAATTTCATACGACTCGGAGATATTTGTGATATAAAATAAATCGTTCTAATCTTTTAAAATCAGTCTGTTCGGTTCATAAATGTTGAGATCAGACTCTCTTCCACTTGATGAGCGTTCGTCTGCAGCAGGACCAACTCTGCTGACTTCCTGCTGCTTCAGACGCTGATCAATGTTCCTCTGATGGTGTGTGTGTGTGTGTGTGTGTGTGTGTGTGTGTGTGTGTGTGTGTGTGTGTGTGTGTGTGTGTGTGTGTGTGTGAGTGAGAGTGTGAGAGAGAGAGAGTCTGTGTGATTTGGTTGGTTGGTGATAAAGTCCTTCTGAGAGGAAACTCATTTGTGTGAAAGTTTTCAGCTTCTCCTGTAAAATATGTTTAGAGGAATTCACGCCACTCTCACCGTCTCACCTGTCCTGCATTAAACTCACCTGTCGCTGTCCTCCTCCTCCTCCTCCTCCTCCTCCTCACAGAAGCGGTTGCAGTGAAGACGAGGCCTCACATCTACTTCTGCCGCTCTCCCAACATGGAGGACTTCAGCTGCTGGTGGCGACCGCTGGACAACCTGACAGACAGAGAGCAGGTCACCTACGCCCTCAGCTACTCCCAAGAGTACGTACACAGTACACACATAGTACTACAATATATTTCTAAGTAGTTGAAAGAGGAATCTGCTGACTCAGAGTGTAATAAGTTGGAGGTTTGATAGTTTGCTGCAGCATGAAGAAGAAGGAGCTCCTCAGATGAGAGACGAGCGCTTCAGGGTGTTTAAATCCGGTTTGATTAGTCGCGCTTCACCTCACTAATAGCAGCTTTTAACACGTCGATGTGAACTCGGCCTCGGCTCCGAGCCGGCCGGCAGAGAAAGCGCTCTGACTCACACAGCGCCATCGATTGTTGTCTCGCTCTGCTGCGACTGTAAATCTGGGATTATGTGAAGAGAAAAAGCCCAAAAACCACCGGGAATAGAGTACAAAGAACAACAGATTAGAACTTGTGTTTTCCTCAGGATTTGTACCACAATGTGCCGTGTTGAGATTACATTTACAGGACGTATAACTGCGTGTAAATATACAAACACATCTGGAATGTGCAGAAAAAGAGTCGTAAAAGGAGGCGTAGCCGTCGTTTGCTAACAGGAACCCTCCGTGTTCACAGCAAAGGGCCCAGACACCAGTGTCCCGACTACGTGAGCGCCGGCCCCTTCAGCTGCCACTTCGACAGCAGCCACACGTCCATCTGGAAGATCTACTGCATGAACGTGACGGCCGTCACCGCCCGCCGGAACTACACCTCCCAGGAGCACTGCCTGGACGTGGCCGACATCGGTGAGTCAAGTGGGTCCAGATATTTAGATTAGAATAAAAGAGAAATATATGAAATAAATCAAACATGAGCATCACTTGTGTTTGAATATCAACGTGCATATAATGAGTAATAACTGCTGATGGTACAGCTGTGTATAACATCTGTATAACATGTCTGATGCGGTTCTCACGTCTCTCCAGTTCAGACCGAAGCTCCGGTGAATCTGACCTACGAGCTGACGGCGGCCGGTGGAGACGAGGTGGGTCACAGCGCTCTGCTGACCTGGACCTACCCGGTGCCCTCAGACCTGCAGTACGGGTGGATCACGCTGGTGTACGAGCTGCAGTACCGCCGCGTCACCGAGCCCGACAACTGGAAGGTAAAATACACCTGAATACACAGAACCAGAGAGGAGGACCTGTTATTGAGTCTCTGAAAGAGGGAGAGAAGTTTACTCTTTAAATGAGCTGGTACTGTCTATCTTCCCCCCCCAGGTGAAGCACCCTCTGAGGGAGCCTCTGGTGGAGCTGCTGGGCCTCCCGGTGGGAGACTACGTGGTCCGGGTCCGATGCCGGTCCCACAACTACGGCCTGTGGAGCGAGTGGAGCGGCGCGCTGCCGATGAGCCTCCCCGCAGGGCCGCCTACGGGGAAACTCCTGGTTCTGATTCTGGTGACGGGCGTCGCTGTCGTGGCTCTGCTGCTGATCCTGTTTGGCGTCGTCCATCAGGGGAAGAGGTGACACAGTATGAACAGTCACAGCTTTAACACCTGTTCTTCACAGTAATGGTCCTGTAAAACTTCCTGTTTCCTCCTTCAGAATAAAAGACTACTTCCTGCCGCCTATTCCAACACCGCGGATCATCGGCATCGACCTGCTACTGCTGAAGGTAGCACGCACGCACACACACACACTCACACACTCGCATGCACACATACACACTCGCACACACACACACACTCATACGCACACCTACACACATGCACATGCACACTTATATCCATCTTTTCTTATACAATGTTTTAGAAGTAAACTTTAAATTAACTTCTCCGTCTCCTCCCTCTCTTCCTTCCTCCCTCCCTTCCTCCCTCTCTCCTTACCTCCCTCTCTCCTTACCTCCCTCTCTCCCCCCTCAGAAGGGCAACTTGGAGGAGATCAACCATCACTTCAGTACCTTCCACAGCTACAGCCCTCCGAGCTACACGGAGGATGTTTGGGACCAGGTGAGCTCCGGAGACGTCTTCCTCTCCACGCCGAAGGACTCGACGGACCACGAGAAGGACGCCCTGATCGCTCCGTGTGACCCGACGGCCGCCCGCCATCGGCTCTCGACCCACCGCCCGCCGTCGTACGTGCAGAGCGTGTCGCCCTACTGCTCCTCGCCTCCCCAAGCCTTCGGCCCGACGCCGGACGCTCCGTCTCTGTGGTCGAGGCCGGAGGTGGTGTCTCTGCCGGGGACGGACTACAGCGTGATGGGACGTCCGGGTCTCCCCGACGCCGTCGCCACAAAGCGCTTGCCTCAGGATTTCTACACCTGCGTCCAGCTCATGAATGAAAGTGGCGAGGTGCACCTGGTGCCCTGTCTGCCGCCGGCGTACTGCCGCGAGTTCCCGCCTCTCCCGAGGGTCGATTCAGACGCAGCGGAGGAGAAGAAGAAGAAGAAGAAGAAGCTGGCTGACTGCCAAGCCAGGACAAACGAGAGGAAAGATGGCGGCGAGGCCGAGAGGGGCGAGGCGGCGGTGCCTCTGCTGCCCGTCACTGCTGACTGAACACGGAGGCCGTGAAACATGGAACACAAAGAACTGTGCTCGTGGACCTTCTGTACTCTGCTCTCCTGCTGCAGAGATTCACTCCATCAGACGACATCGTGTCCAAGAGACGCTGGACTTCTGCAAGTGAAACATGCAGAGAGAGCAAAGTTGCCTCGTGCACCTTTTAAATATGATTTAGTATTATAACATGCTGCTTCCCCCTAACCCAATAAACAGTACGAGTATCTCATTCCTCACTCACATCCTTACTTTAATGTTCCAGATATCAGCCAATGATCTTCACATTCTTCTAATTCCCCTCAAACACCCGCTGGACTCGTTCCATTCACGGTGGCAGGGTTCTAAACATGGCCGCCCTCAGGAGGACGTCAGCTGTGGATTCACACTGGAATGTTTTCTGTGCAGCAGCAGCTTTTACATGTTTAACACTATTACAAAAAGCATTTCATGTATTACAGAGACGCTGAATGACCTCAGGTAGAGATGTATTTCTGTCTACCAACAAACTGTCTGTTAATGACGAGGAGGAGGAGGAAGAAGAGGACACCTTTCTTTAACCTGTGTGATGACTGAAGTCACTCTGAGGTGCTATGACCGACTCTGACCGACTGTGACCGACCCCGGCGGTCCTGGAGAAGCTATGAAACACTCGTCATCGTGTTGTCTCTGGTGTTGGATGTCGTGCTGTTCTCTATTCTTGTGCCTTTTTTTATTCACAGAGCTGTTTGTTCCCACACGCCTGGAAATGCTTTCACGTGAGGAAAATGGTTAATGACTCTTTATATATATATATATATATATTTATATATATTTATATACATATATTCATGTGCACACATGTGTGCGGCTGTATACAAACCCGCTCAGTGTTGGTCACGCTTTCACCTTTTTATTGTAACAAAACCACTAAAACCATCCGATGCAATAAAAAGTGAGAAGGCAGCTTGAAGGTGTGCACGGTTCATCATTTATCTCTCTCTCACACACACACACACACACACACACACACACACTGTGGCCCTGTGACTTGAATTAGCTGCATTCTGAGGTTATAAATAGAGCTGATAGTCAGCTGACTTGAGATAAAACACAGCAGCAGAAGAGAGTTGTGCAAATGAAAGTGGACTTTGAATAACAGACACAATCTGTAGATCACAAGTCATAATAATAATACTGCTACATATAAAGATGACTCCTCAACAAGAGGACAAAACAATAGAAGGAATGAAATATACTTTATGGATAAATAATGGAATAACACTATGGGAGGAGGAAGTAAGGACAGATGAAAAAACGGATAACGACGACTATTGGAATAAAATGATGTATGAAATGGGGGAGGAAGTAGGGGGACAGAAGGAAAGGAAGTAAGGAAGTAGGACACATGGGAGGATGGAGAGAAGAAAAAGGAAACAAGGACAGAAGGACAACAACAAAAATATTAAAACATATTTCATGCAATGAAATAAACAGTCCGGTAGTATATAAGAACTCTACTGCAGTACATGCACTGAGAGCATCAGAAGTACTCTGAGCAGTACTCTACTGCAGTATCAGAAGTACTCTGAGTTCTGGGTTACTGGTGTCGGGTGTCGGGGCTCTGCAGGCTTGTTGGTGGGGGTGGGGGGGAGGACTCTTTAACTTTAGTGTCAGTCTGGACGCCATCGGCTTCACACGAGCTGCTTCAGACCGGCCGAGGTAAGAACACACGCACACACACACACACACACACAGAACGGTGGTGTTTGGTTTAAAGTCGTCCTCCACCTCTCAGAGTTCTTTCTCCTGGTTTTACTTTTGTTTGACTAGTTTGGAGTGTTGTTTCTCTCGAGGCCTCCGGCTCTCAGGCAGCTGTCGCTCTGATAAAAATAGATCCTCGTCACACATCTACAGTTTACTGTCAGCTTAGAGGCCCAAACATATAATCATACAAAATACACACAAGAAGAAGAAGAAGCATCCACATCAATAATGACACATTCAGCAGATCACAGAGAACACAAAGTTAGGAAGATATACTGTATGACTATGAAATATTCAGGACAAAGTATTTCAACAACAATAAAAACACGTTCTCTACAAGAAGAAAGACAGAAGACTGTGTGTGTGTGTGTGTGTGTGTGTTACACTCCTTTAGGAGGCTGAATATGTGAAGATTGATGAGTTTTGATCCGTTATTTTGTCCATAATTTCACTTTTAATGGAGCTCCAAGTTGTTTACTCCCAACAGCACAAACATCAGATGTCGTCATAAACTAATTTAATATTATGTATTTAACCTGCTGCTCCTTTTAATGCAGCTTCTACTGTCTATCATTGTTTTAATAGAATTCTGCTCATGCAAACCAAAGACAAATGTCTGCATGCAAACAGGAGACAAAGGTTTAACGGTTTACATGTAATTGTAAAAAGAAATGTTTCACTAGCAAATGTACTCATGTAATGTACGAATGTAATCAGTAACTCATCATCTTGTTTCAATTATTATTATTTTCATAATTCTTTCTTTAAAATACATTTTGGGGGAAATGAACTCATTTGTTTTCTTGCTGAGAGTTTCATGCAGCAGCCGGTTAGCTTAGCTTAGCATAAAGACTGGAAACGGGGGGAAACTGCTAGCGTGGCTCTGTCTGAACACGTAGCTTCTCGGTTAGTTAATCTGTAAGAAAAGAAGAAGTGTTTCTTCAGAACATATTCATCCACAATCGTCTGATTCATCGTCAGGATCTGAATCCAGCTGGATTCTCTCTTTCATTTCTATTTCTAGATCTTACTTCACCTTCAGATCCTCAGTGTGTGTTTCATTTCTATTGTTTCCTCATGAGGTCACATCCCTGTTTGAATCACACGACACCTCTCCTCTCTTTATCTTCTCTGACTCTGCGTCTGATGTTTCATAGATGTATTCATGTGATAACGGGGTTTCTTTCTTCCCTCTATTTAATAAATATTATTAGTATTTGTTTTTGACAGCTTAACAGTGCAGATGATCCAATAAATACCTGCAGCAGTATTATAGTACACATATGTATTTAAATGTGTAGCTGTGATCATCATTTAGAGAACTCATGAATGAGAATATATTGTCTGAAGTGAATTTAATACAAATCCAGAAACTTCACAAACTATTATTTTTATTTTGATCAATGGCAGGAGGGATCCTTGTTGCAATGGCGTCGACCAATGAGAGCGGAGCGCGCCAGGACCAGACGGTTCCTGGTGGTGAGGAGGAGGAGGAGGACGAGGAGGGGAGGATCGTCAGAGGGATCCAGTCTCAATACCTCCGCTGTGCGTCACCCAGGTAGGAGAGTAGACCACCTGGAGGTCTGATTTCAGGATTTAGGAGAATCATTAGCAACATGAGAAGCTGCTCTTTTCTCCCTGGACTCTTTGATTCAAGATGAATATCTGACTCATTTATTGCATAAAGATTGTTGCAATAAATGTTTTAAAAAGAAGAGTGATGTTTGCTTTGTGTTGAGGATTATTAAAAGCTCCATGTTCCTCCTCTCCGTCAGTTTCTCCATGGCTTCAGAGTCCAGGTTCTCCGTGATCTCCGGCTCCGACGCCGCGAGCATCTTCATGGAGCCCATGCACCTCTCGTCAGCCATCGCTGCCAAGAAGATCATCAGCGAGGGTGAGGAGCTCAAACTAAACCCAGACACGTAACATCATGTCTCTATAGAATGTCAGAATGAAGTCTTAAGCGATGGATGGACGGAGATCACGTCAGGTCGTCCTCAACCAAATCACTTCTGACGTCTGAGTCCACGTCCAACATGTCTAATTCAGTCAAGAGCTCCTCAATTACATCCGATCCACGTCTCGTCCCCTCGGCTGGTTAGCGGCCCCGAGGAGCGGAGACGCTCTGATTGAGGACATTAGCTCGTGGGACTGCATCGTCCATTAAAGGGACAGCTTTAATGGACGATGCATGTTTCATCTGCAGAGGAGCACGAGGAGAGATGTGTCTTAATATGCAGGCCGCTGAAGTTTCCTCCATAACCCTCAGACCTCATCTTCTCATAAAAGAAACATTTATATGTGTCCACGAAGTTATAATACAATCAATATAAAATCAATTTGAGTTCAAATAAACTTCAGACATCAGAACTAAAATATTTTACATCCAAAAAGTTACTTTCATCGCTGAAGGGTGAAATGAGTCTGCTCCTCCTCCAGCAGGGAAACGGAGAATCCTACTGAGCATGTGCAGAGTGAGTGTCATCACTAGCTTGTTCCTGATTGGAGGAACCGGTGTGTTACTATTGACCCTGGTCTCCTCTAATCTGGGTCCAGAAATCTATTGTTTTTCTCTTAAAATCAAACATTAAGACACGAATCTGCTGAGTAGGACTGTATTATCATGATTATGACTATTTAATCCCTCTGCATTGAAGCTTTTATCAAAGGTCAACACATCTGGTTCATGTCCTCCCTTTAGAGCTGCCGCCTCGCAGCGTGCAGGCCGAGTCTGTCCCCGAGTCCATGCTGGAGACGGCCGATCAGCTGATGGTGGAGGACCTCTACAACCGCGTCAAGGACATGATCGACGACCGCAGCCCCTACAACACCCCCTGTGTGCTGGATATCCAGAGGGCCATGGTGCAGGACCGCCTGGAGGCCCCCCTCAACCCCGTGGACGAGGTGTGGCCCAACGTCTTCATAGCCGAGAAGTGAGTCCAGCAAATACTAAATGTCCTCTTATTGGCTTCTTCTGCAAGAGCGAACTCCAGCAGCCGAGGAAGACCATGTGTTGGGGTTGAAAGCCACAATACCAGCCAGTCTAACGGACCTCGACTGCTGTTTCCATGCTTGGTTTGCACGTCTGATTCCTCCTCACGGTGCGATATTTCTCTCGTTTCAGATCTGTTGCGGTGAACAAGGCTCGCCTGAAGCGAATGGGCATCACCCACATCCTGAACGCGGCCCACGGCACGGGGGTGTACACGGGCCAGTCCTTCTACGGCGGCATGAGCCTCCAGTACTCGGGCATCGAGGTGGACGACTTCCCCGACTCCGACATCTCGCCGCACTTCCGGCCCACCGCCGAGTTCTTGGACGACGCTCTGCTGACACACAAGGGTGAGAGAGGCTTTCTGTTTTTCCTGGTGATGATGATGATGATGATGATGATGATTCATCTCTTCAAACGATCATCTTCATCCATTTTGCTGAATAGCAGCTGATTCACAAAGTGTTGCCTCGAGGAATGAATTCCTTTTCCGCTGCCAAACGACTTTTATTCCATAATTATTTTACTATAAAGAAGACTCTACTTCCTGGTACTAAACATCCGTCTTGTCTCTGTACAGGAAAGGTTCTGGTTGTGTCCATGATGGGCGTGAGCCGCTCTGCTGTCCTGGTGGCGTCCTACCTGATGATCTTCCAGCACATGACCGTCATGGAGGCCCTGACCTCCATGAGGAAGAAGCGCGCCATCAACCCCAACGAGGGCTTCCTGAAGCAGCTGCGGAATCTCAACGAGACCCTGATGGAGGAGCGCGACGACGACGACGATACGCTCAGCCAGTGCTCCGTCATCGATGCACGCGGTTGCGCTCGCATCTTCGGCGAAGACGAGGACGAGGATGATACGGATAGAGAGGAAGAGCGGAGCATGATCGAGGTGAAAGCGCGCTCCATCGTGATGGAGGAGGAGGAGGACGGAGAGAGCGTGATGAGCAGCGTCGCCTCCTCTGCGGCTGCCGCGGTGCTCCGGAGTGGATTGACTGGCGCACCGATCGACCAGAGGCCGAGTCAGGAAGAGGTTGTCCTGCCGGAGACGGAGGGCGGAGAGGATAGAGAGGACGAGGACGGCCTCGACAGCATGATCCGCGAGTGGCAGAGGAGGAACGAGAAATACCAGGATGACGACTGGTGGGAGGCGCAGCTGAACAGCGACGGAGAGGACGTGGAATCCGTCGGCCAGGGACAACCAAAGAAGATGTCCGATGTGGAGAGCGTCACTAGCGAGGACGTGCGCGCCGTGAAAGAGCGGTTGAAGCGCCGCGGCAGACGTCCGGCCTCGGACGTGATGTCCACCTCCAGCTGCACAAGTTACTCCGATCTCTGGAAACAGCGGCTGAGGGAAATCGAGGAACAAGCCGCCGCTCGCTACCGCAAGAAAGAGGACGAGGACGGCAGCGAGAGCACCACCTCAGAAGGTGGAGAAGGAGCAAAGAAGAAGATTGATGACGAGGTGGAGAGCCTCCTCTCCGACACCAGCTCCATGTACAACTTCTGCCAGAAGAACAAGGAGAAGATGACGCCTTTGGAGCGCTGGCGTGTCAAGAGGATCCAGTTTGGTTGGAACAAGAAGGATCGAGAGGACGGAGACAAAAGTTGTGTGGGAGATGGAGAGCAAGGCGACGGAAAGGGAGAAGCCAAGATGCCGTCCTATCAGGATGTCAACCTGACGGCGTATCAGACGTGGATGCTGAGGCAGCAGAGGCGCCTCGGGGAGGAAAACACGGAGGAGATCGTGGAGATGAGTCGGGGCGAGGACTCGGCGACAGTCAAGCGGAGGCAGAGACGCGAGGAGATCCTGGAGCGCTCGAAGAAAACACTGGAGGAGAGTCAGTCCATGTGTGGCTTGGACGACGAGAGCAGCGTCAGTGGCGGTACAATACCTCTCTCCGCCTTCTGGGCCGGAGCCGGAGTCACGGGCCTGCCGAGTGTCACCAACGACGACAACATGTCCATGCTCAGCGGCAGGTCATCCGTCATATCCTCGGTTTCACAGGCTCGCAGTACGAGATCTGTGAATCCCATCGCATCGCTTCCTCCCATCCTCCCGGTTCCCACGGTCCAGGGCCCCGGAGGAGAACCCATGGTCAATCTAGCCAGCATCCAAAACTGGATCGCCAACGTCGTCTCCGAAACGATCAAGCAGAAGCAGACCGAGATGAGCCTGCCTCCTCCGTCGCACGCCGGATCGGAGCTCGGCTTCAGCCTGATTTCGGGCCGCGGCATGGACGACGACAGAGCCTCCCTGCTGAGCGGCGCTTCCTATTCCAGCGTGCTGTCGCCGGGTCGAGGCGGGGCGGCGTCGGTCCTCTCCGGCACCGGGTCGAGCGCCATCTCCGGTCTCACCGGGAGAAACTCTGCTCTGGGATCCAGGAAAAACAAGATCACCACCACCAGCGTGCCTCTTTTCAGCCTCTTCCAAGACCAGGTCAACATGGGCAAGCTGGACGCCATGGACAAGGAGATCAAGTCCGAGATGAGGGGCAAGATGGCCGTCTACGAGAAGAAGAAGATCCTGGAGGACAACAAGCGCAGCACGCTGTACAAGAAGAAGAAACCAAAGGAGGACGAAGACGAGAAGGAGAAGAGGAAGAACAGAGAGGAGGAGTTTCTGGAGGAAGCAAAGAAAAAGGAGAAACCTGCGAGGACTTTTGGGCTCTCTGGGTGTCTCAATCTCAACCCGGCGCTGGAGAAAGATAAGAACACCAGCGTGGACGACTGGCTGACGAGCGTCCGGCCTCCTCCGAGGAAACCGGCCTCCGGGGTCGACGCCGGCCCGGCGGAGGACCCCTACGAGGACCTCGACGCCTCCGCTTCCGAATTCGACTTCTCCAGCCGCAGGGCGTCCTACGCCCTCGACGAAGACGACGAGGAAACTCGCAGCGTTTCCTCCAGATACAGATCGCGGCTCCGTGAGCATCCATCAAGCGAAGACAACGGGTTCACGGGGTCCCACGGCTACAGGAGGTCGTACGGTGCCCAAGACGAGGGTGACGAGGCCGCGGAGAGCTTCCGCGACCTCGCCGCAAAGAGGAAGTTCGCCCATCGTTCGCGGTACGAAAGCAGCGAGACGGAAGGGAGGAGGAGTCTGCGGGAGGAAGCCAGCAACGAGGAGGAGGAGGAGGATGACATCACCACCTTCATTGCCCAAACCAGGCAGAGGGTCCGAGCTCGGGCCGCCGCCGAGGCCGAAGACGACGAGGTGCTGGTGGCTTGGAGGGCGCAGCAGGAAGCGAAATCACAGAGCAGAAGTGAACCATAGGAGATTTGAGAGATCTGAACTCATCGTGGACTTTAAATCTGAGGATAATATGAAATAGCAAAGATCTATTAGAAACACATAGTGGCCGACTGGACAGCTGATGAGGACTGATGCCTTGGCCAACCATTTGAAATCTTCCTCCTTTTCATCTTAGTTGCAATGCTACAAATAAAGAACCTTAAGTTTTACAAATCCACACATTTATTCCCTTTTTCTTTCTTTACCTTCTCTCTTGTCTCACACGTCCTCTCCATAGTAGTGTTCTGTTCTTTTGTTTTTCCAGAAGATATTTGTTCCCGTTTGGTTGCCCCTAGTAGATCTGATTATAGAGGCGAGCACACATCGCACTTAAAATCCTTAAATGTCGACTGTGATTATTGTTCAAGAAACACTAATAACTGTAAAAGTAGGCGTCGCTGTTTTTGTGGATTTCTGTATTTGGACAAAAGAAAACCGACATCAGTCAGTAAAATATGCACTTTTGCCTTCTTGTCTCTGTAATTAACACAACTAGTTTATTATGTCGTTTATTAGGGTTTGTTTGCTCCACCGTTGAATGTAAAACTGATTGTGAAGCACATTTAATACATATTTTCATAAAAGATGACGTGAGACGAGTCATTTGTTTCTTTATTTTATTATTGCAATAAATGTTCTGACAAATGACGACTCATGGGCTTTTATTATTATTATTTAATTTAATAAATATTTTATTAAATATAGGATTAAATAGATACCCAATAACAAACAACTCAGACCAGACAAACTGATTATTAGTAATATAACTATTATCATGATGATGATTATTATTATTGTTTTGATAAATGAATAGATAAATGATATTAAACATTAAATTATATGTAAGATTATAAGACAATGAACCTGTTATTCCTGCTTTTATATAACATCTGTTTTTTATTTCTTGTATAACAAGAGAAGAAGAGCATTTCCTGGAAAACAAATGACTCGTAGTTCTACTGATTCTGGTCTGATGATTATGAAAGAAGTATTTCTATATTTGTGGATGATCATCACTCTTACATCTACGTCATACCTCCATCTATGGGACACTATAGGTAGTGCTGCAGATATACTTTCAGATAAAGATGTTTGAGATTTATAGATAATTATCGTCTTAATAAATCATTCAGAATAAATCATAAAACATATATTTGTGTTCGCCGTTCCTCAGCTCTTGATTGTGTTTCTCACTTTGTTTCCTGGCAGTAATGGTGACATAATGTAATACTCACTGCAGCTTATGAGCAGCTTTACGCTCCACAGAGGGATCAACGCTGCAGAATGTTGAGCTGGAAGAAGAGGAACACAGATATTATGAGACATTTACACACAGTATATATGTCTGCATGCTGTGTCTGCAAGATTCATAGTTAATGTGAATTTAAAAAAGGAAGAAAACGATTTAAAATGTGACAAACTATGTAGATATTTGCTTAGTTTTAAGTAAGACTGAATATTTTGTATCTTGTTGCCAAAATAAAAGAATCTCTAAAGACTTGTGAGTACTTTTACTTCTGATACTTTAAGCAGAAGCACTCAGATATTTTATTGCAGTAAAAGTATTAATACCACAATGTAGAAGTACAATAATATATTATTATTAGATCATAAAACTGATGCTTTAATGTGTTTACAGCTCATTTTAATATCCTGTATTTATTAGTTTATTCAGTGTTTGTATTATTGATCAGAATCTACAAATCATCAAATAAATGCAGTAAAATAAAAAGTACAATATTTGCTTCCAGAATGTAGAGAAGTATGCTCAGAATTATACTTAATCAAAGTACTTTGCTGTCTATAAATACATGACATTTAGAAATGTCTAAAGAGCGGTGGTCATGTTGAAGAAGTAAAGAAAGAGCAGCTGACAGATTAAAGTATTAAGGATAAAAACGAGGCCTTCAGGTCACCAGACTGAGGGACGAATGACGTGAGCTCGTTTTCTGCCAATCGGCATGAATTCAGTCCTTCAGTGTGAAAGCTTTCATAACGCCGACACATGCAGCTTCATTCCCTCCTCTGCTGGACGTCCTTTCCTCTGGTTTCCTGCGTCATGGCGAGCTGGTGGACGGCCGCAGACGTGCTGGACAGTCTGGACCTGGAGGAGGACTCCATAGTGGCCCGGGTCATCCAGGCCGTCGGGCTGCTTGGAGACATTCTGTCTCTGGAGGACACCATGCTGTCTAACGCCCAACCAGAGCACAACACCGACGGGACTGCACCAGGTGAGGAGGATGAAGAAGGAGAAGAAGAAGAAGGAGAAACGCCAAGAGAGGAAGTGAACGTGGAGGAACACGAAGGAGAGAAGGTGGGAAAGGAAGGAGAGCAGCACGTGCAAGACTGGAAGGATGACAGCAGAGAGGAAGAGGAGGAACTGGAGGAAGATGATGGAGATGTTGGAGTGGAAAAGCAGGTACAAGTGAGAGAAGAGGAGGAGGAGGAGGAGGAGGAGGAGGAGGTTGAAGGAGATGAAAAGGCAAAGATGGACACGGAAGAAAAGGAGGAACAGGAAGAGCAGGTGTTCGAAAATGAGGTAGACGAAGAGCGAGGAGATGAAAAGGATGAAGCAAAGACTCAAAGAGAGCCGGAGGAAGGAGGGAGGAAGGAGGACACGTTTGAGGAGGAAGGAAAGGAGAAGGAGGCAGACGAAGATGGAGACAGTTTGGATGATGAGTTTAAGAACAAACTTGGATGGACCGTCAAGGTCGAGGTAGAGGAGGGAGAGATGAAAAGACAGGATGAAGAAGAAGTCGGAGGAGAAGAAAAGGAGCCTCGGAAGGAGGAAGCACAAGATGGAAGGAAAGAGTTAGAGACTCGGGACGAGGAAGACGAGGTAGAAGAAGAAAGAAAAGAACAAGACAGGGGGACAGAGATAAAAGGACATGGAGGAGGTGAAGAAGGAGAAAAGATGGAAGAGACAAGAGAAAACATGGTAGAGAAAGAAGAAGAAGAACAACAGAGTGATGGCAAAGAAGAAGAGAAGGAGGCCTTGAGAAACAATGTAGAAAATGTAGAAGAAGAAGAAAAGATGGAGGCCATGGGAGACAAAGTAGAAAATGTAGAAGAAGAAGAAAAAAAGATGGAGGCCTTGGAAGACAAAGTACAACATGTAGAAGAAGAAGAAAAGATGGAGGCCTTCGTACACAAATTAGAAAATGTAGAAGAAGAAGAAGAAGAAGAAGAAGAGATGGAGGCCTTGGGAGACAGATTAGAACATGTAGAAGAAGAAGAAAAGATGGAGGAACCAAATGATGAGTCAGCAAACCAACTTAATCAAACAGATTCCCAGAAGCCATCACCCTCCTCGTCTCTACGAGCCTCTGAATGTGCTGAAACGCTGAGTCATGCCGGTGCAGAAACAGGAAATGAAGCTCGCCGAGTCCCCACAGAAGAAGAGCAGAGCTCAGGCGCTGCCAAAAACCTCAACGGGGACATTCATCCCACTTCACTGAACGGCGACAAAGAGACGGAGGGAAGGCCGACTGTGGACGCTCGTCTGGATCTGAGAGAGGAGCAAAGAAAGAGTCTGGAGGAGCAGGAGCGACTTGAAACAACGCCACTGACATCATTTCCTGCTTCAGGACATCCAGGTGAACCTGCAGCTGACATCCAGGACATCACACCTGAGCTACACACAGGTACGCACGTTTACCGCTGTGATCGTTTACAATTTGCATGAGTGGCGGACTCCACCACTCACACCGAGAGCTCCCACTGAAAGAGGAACATACTGAATGTAAACGGCTGTTGTTGATCAATGCAGACAAAGAATTATGTTTAAAAAAGGGTTTGATTTTTATTAAATCTTACGGGTTTTACCTTTAAGTTTTAACATAACAATAAGGGAGCCTAAAGTTTGCAAACTATGTTCTAAAATGCAATTCATGATTATTTTTAATGTTGAGTCTTTCATGAATTTAACACTATGTTCCCCACTGCTTTCATTCGCTTTTAACTCCTAAACTTTGTTGCTGTGAGTGTTTAAATATCTGGCAGGAACTTGTAAACAGGATCTCACATAACAGATATGATTTTGCTGCAAACACAATTACTCCCGGTGGAGATTCAGGCCAGAGAGTTAATTCATTCATTAAAATTGAATTAAAATTCCACAAAGATGACGCTCACTCTGCTGCCTGAAGCAAACAACAACAAACTGAGACAAATGAAATCACCTCATGTCGTGCTTTTACCTTTAACATTTCACTTTTAACGTTTCCTTCAGGTTGCAGGTTGGAGGCGAAGGTGTCGTTGATGGATGCAGCCGCCGGGTCGCCGTTACGGGCTGGAGGAGGATGCAAAGAGCTGAGTCTGACCGTGAACTCGTCCAGCACAAACCCTGAGATGGAAGCGAAGGAGGACAAAGAGGAAGGAAGTCAAAACTCTCTCAGTGTGAACAGCGAGGGGGACGGCAAGAAGAACGGCAGCCATCAATCGTCAAAGTACAAGACAGTGTCCTTCAGGAGGATCCAGAGAGGAAACACCCGACAGAGGATCGATGAGTTTGAGGCCATGATGGACGTCTGATCAAACCTTAAATATTCTCTCTTTGGGCTTGAAGATAATGATATCTAGTAAAACCTTGAGAAAAGTTTAGTAGACCCAGGATAGAGCCCTGTGGTACACCATCCTGTAACGTAATGTTTCCATTGTTGTGAGTGGAAGGCGCTGAATAAATAGTTTATTATTGTTTATTATGTGTCGTCAAAGTGCTTGAAATCTGTTCTTGTAGCTCTTTTCTTTATTTAAAATGCGATAATTTATTTATTAGTATTTCAGTGGTGGTATTTTCATGAACAGACATCAAACCAGAACTATTTAATGATGATACATGGAGAAAAATAACTAATAACTAATGATATTTATTTTTATATTTATTTTTATATTTATTTTTATATTTATATGTATCTATAAGCACCATAATACGCAATAATCCTAATACTATGTGATAAATATTAGTATTTTTACATGTAATAAACAGGACATATATTGGCACCGAGACACAATATCAGGACTACATATCCCACAATCCTCCGCTCCTGTCACTGACGTCACCCGGAGACCCCGGCGTCCCTCTGCCAGCAGCGAGCGGTGCGCGTTTGGCAACAAAAGACTCATTTCTAAACAGGTTGGGACGTTTTGTCGACGACGGTATTTTTTGGCACGTTATCACAGGTATGTTTACGAGCGGAGTGATATTTAAACTTGTAGTTTTATCCTGAGTTTGTAGTTTAAACGGTTTTAATTTTAGAACGTCGGAAGTTGACTTGGTAGCTAGGTGGCTAACAAGATGGCTGCGTCTATTTACTGCGGAACAACATCAAACACTGACTCACTTTAAAGTGTGTTTAACGTCACTTAGCATGACGCTGCGACTCTGAATGAGCATATCTGTGGACACGCTTCGTTCCAGGCGACAGTTGGCAGTCATGACACCGCTGCTGCTGTCCGTTGGAGGAAGAGGAAGAGGAAGGAGATGATGATGATGATGACGTTCAGTTAGCTGGCTGCCTGCCTGGCGGACGGACGGGCGGACAACCAGAGCAGGATCCGGGACGACGAGAGGCGAAGATGCCGCGGAGGAAACAATCCAACCCCCAGCCCGTGAAATGTGAGTTCAAACTGTTCTCTTCCAGATGTTTGAGGCTGTATCTGGTGTTTAGACTGTTGTCTTC